AGTTCCAAGTTCAACTCAAACTCGGCAAGACCTCAAACCTAACCTCGCTTCAATGAGACTAAACTGTGAAGAATTCATCTCACCTTCCTGACAGAGACGCGACACACGCAGGGGTCCAGAACGCCGGTGTTGGGGTTGGCGCTCATTTTGCACACAAAGGAGAACCTCTTCCTCCAGCGAACGGCGTTCTGGTGGACTTCTTCTCTGTGGGCGAGAGAACAAAGATCCAGAACTGTTATTTCAAACACACGCTCAAGTCACAGATCCAGACTGAACACTGATGATATGTTGATGTTGGTTGTGATATCGTCTCTCTGCTAATGTTTCAAGCTGTGGGTCTGTTTGTGATGGCCGGTCATGTAGTAAAGCGTTTCCAGCCTGTTTGCGACTCGAGAAGATCCAGACGAAGATCCAGATTGAGTATTTACTAGGGCTGTGCGATATGGACAAAAAAACCTATCGCGATTTCTTTGATCAATTTTGCGATTTCGATCTTAATCACGATTTTGACACACACAGACATGCTTTACAGTCATAAATGCATTCAGTGTGAATTTGAAACATATTTCCAAAAGAAAACCAATTAGAGCTTTATCAAAAAGCTGTAACATGTCTCTAGAACAGACATAAGGCAAAATAATCACCAAGTAAAGGTGTAACAAAATGTCTCTAGAATAGACATATGGCAGAAAAATTACCATGCATTGGTCATAGAGCTCTTTGTGGCGTTGTCTCAGATGTTGAACTAGATTTGTTGCGCCAAGTTCACACGTACTCTGTCTGCAGTGCGTATACAGCATGTGTATGCGGTGCAGAAGCAGCACGGACTCATTTTGCTTTCGCATAGGACGCGTTTGCAGTCCGCTCCTGATCCGCGGCTGTTTACCAAAAACACAACATTTATCCATTATTTTGATTTCAAATCCAAACGTTGTTTCTGAAAATGCTTTTTCAGCATTGTGATTCTCTTTTATCACAGTACAGTAATACAATCTCTCATAGACATTCACGTTTAAACTCAATAAATATAACTTTGTTTAACTACCACCACGAGTGCCATCTATTATTGCCTTGTTTATCTAAAAGTGCACTTTTCCTTGTTTTAAATCTAGCCAAAAAGCCATGTGTTGACTGTGAAACAGTA